CTTATTTTACTTGTGAGTATTAGTTTTTAGATATTATCCTCCTTTGTTCCATTCCCACTTGTTATCTGTTTGATATGTAGTTATACTATGCAGTGTGTGCATGAGAAAGATGAACTCTCCTTTGTTCATTTCAGATAAGAGTGAGGCTCATCTGATGCCCGTTGTCCCCATCCCTTCCTCCATACTCTTTTTACGCAAACCAATTAGGAGAAACAGTAACTTCCACCCCCTTCTTCCTCCTTTCTACACTAGTATATTTCTTTTGCTCTTTTTCCTCCACCCTCTTAAAACAGAACAGAACAAGTCCTCTTGCTTTTCTTATTTAACTCCCTCAGTACCCTTTGAAGACACTAAACTTCTGAAGGGACACTTTTTTTTCTCTCACTATCAGAATGCTAATACCACATCATCATATGAGCACTTCCAATTGCTCAGATAAATTTATCTTTCTAGGTTTTTCTAGATTCTTGTACTTTCTTTTCAGTTTCTCCTGAGCTTTGGCTTTTTTATTGAAGATGCTCAAAAGTCCTTTATTCTGTTAAAGGCGCCCCCCCCCCCAGATTTGCAGAGTAAGTTATTGTTTTGTCTTGTCTTTTCTTTGCCATGTCTTCTGCATTTTGAAATATGGTATTCTAAGCTCTCCTCTAGTTTATAGTAGAACCTTCAGGTCTTCTGTGGTCCTGACATTGGTTGCTTGGTACTCGAACTCCTTTTATATATATCTCATTCTGCACCTCTGTTCAGAAGTGGGGATAGGAGTGGGTTGGGGCATGCTTTATCATTTATCCTCTGGAGCTGTGGTTAATCGTTGTGTTGATCAAAATTCTTAAGTCTTTCACAGTTGTTTTCCTTTACATTATTGTAATTGTATAAATCGTTTTCTTGGTTTTGCTCATTTAATTCTGAATCAGTTCATACATTTTCCCAAGTTTTGAAATTGTCTATCTCATAATTTCTTATGGCACAATGGTATTCCATTATATTCATATACCGTTGTTTGTTCAGCCATTCCTTGTTGTATAGGCAACCCCTTAGTTTCTAGTTTTCTGTTACCACAAAAAGAACAGCTGTAACTTTTTTTTAAATATATAGATCCTTTTCCGCTTTCTTTGTTCTCCTTGAGGAATATGACAAAAATTGCAATTTTCTCTTAGAGTGATATAATGTACTTTTGTTGTCATTGTTTAGTTGTTTCAGTTGTGTCTGTCAATTCTTTTTTTTTTTTTTTTTTTGCT